TGTTGTTGTTATTGTTGTTTTTTAATTGTTTTTTATAATTTGTACAATTAACCTCCTTGTGGTTCGACCCCGGTCTTGCCGGGTTATTTATTACTTCGACACTCCTGCACTTGGGAGAAGACATCAACCTTTTAGTCGTGTCAGTGATTGACAACTTCGTATACATCGCTGATTCAATGATATATACTATACACACACTAACATATTTTTTTTAGTAATATTAATTTTATGATCAAATACAATAATGTCCTTGAGTAACTTTTACATTAACAATAACACACAAATATGAAAGGATTAAAAAGCTCTTATGAGAGAGTGATGTTGTTTTTGTCTTGAAGGATAACACAACAATTTTATTATTTTAGAAAACTAGAAAGACTATAACACTGCTAATTAAAAGACATTTTATTTTTTTATTATAGGATCAAATGAGTAATTAGAATGAATCTAAAAAATAAAATTAAAAAACTATTCCTACACAAATTGTTAAAGACAATTGTATAATAGTAAAAAGATAATCGTTCCTTTATGCCTAGTTTAAAGGTTTTTAGATCAAGAATAATTTTGTCAAATCACTATCATAATAAATAGTGATTTATGTCCATAGGTATAATAAAACCTCATCCTTTTTTATATTTTATTTTAATTTAATAATTATTTTAATCAAATTTAATAATTTAATGATAGATGATAAAGAAATAGCTTTGTATTAGTTATCATTAACAAAAAACCTAAAAGAGAAGGGATTTTACTATACCCCTCCTTATATAATATTATTCACTGGAATATTTGTTTTTGGTTTTCTTATTTCTAATTGATGTTTTTTGTTTAATTTTAATTAGATTCATCAATATTAGGTTTATTAGGAATTAGATTTTATAATTTTTTATAATTTATATTTTATATGGGTAGCTCATACTTATGACTTGAATTACGAGTTTGATAGGTTAACTCAATTAACTCGATTTTTTTTTTATTGACCTTTTTCTCTAAACGAAAAACTAAGGGAGGAGGCGGTTTTACAACACCCCTTGTTCTTGTTCTTGTTCTTCTTTTTTCTAATCTATTTTTAAATTTAAATTTTATTATTCAATATTAGGTTTATTAAGGATTAAATATTATATTTTTTTATATTTAATTTTTATAAGGTTATTTTATACTTGTGACTGAGACAACAAGTATGACATCTTAATTCGGTTGACTCGAGTTTTTTTTTTTGCAAATTGATTTTTTCTCTTAATTTCAACATTTAATATTGAATTGATTTGAAATTAGACTTCGTGATTTATTTTGGTATGCTTTCTAGAGATTATTCACATCTCATGACCTAAATCATAAGTTTGGTTAACTCTGATTAATTCGAGTAATTTTTTTAATCAATTTTTTATTTTATTTTTTAATATTGAGTTAATTAAAAACTGAGTTTCGTGATGTGTTTTGGTATGCTTTCTAGAGATTATCTATAACTCATAACCTAAACTACGAGTTTGGCATGCTAATCTTAATTGACTTGAATAATTCTTTTTAATTAGGTAAGTTTCATAATTTATTTTAATTTATTTTTTATTTAGTTGGCTTGATCTTATAATCCAAGTTGTGGGTTTGACAAGTTAAAACAGGTTGACTAATATCATTTTTTTAATTGTTTTTTTTTTCAATCTCATCATTCAATATTGAATTTATTGAAAATTAGGTTTTATAATTTTTGCTTTCTAGATATTATCCATATCTCATTACTCGGGTCACGAGATTGATATATTATTATGATTTACTAGAATTTTTTTAATTATTTTTTAATTTAATTTTTCAATATTAGATTGATTAAGAATTAAGTTTAATAATTTGTTTTAAATTGTTTTTTTATTGAGTTGTTCTAATCTCATGATTTAGGTTGTGGGTTTGACAAATTAAACCGAGTTGACTCATGTTATTTTTAATTTTTTTTTTGAATTTTATCATTCAACATTGAATTTATTAAAAATTAAGTTTTATAACTTATTTTAATTTATTTTTTATAAAGTTATTATAATTTTATAACTTATTATAGAGATTGATAAATTAACTCAATTTAATCTGAATTAATTTAATATAATATTCTTTTAACATTTATTATATGAATCTTGTCTTAAATATTTATTTGAGGTGAAACTATATATTTTTTTATTATTATTTGAATTATTTTTAAACCTACCAGATGAAAGAGTCAAATTGAATTAATTCAAATGTGATTTAGACACAAAATTATAAAAAATATATTTTTTTAAATAATATTTTTTAAGATTTTCTGATTTTTTAATATATTAACATTAAAATAATAATTTTAAAAAATATTATTTTAATGTAGAAGCATCAGCTAGCATGTTTCTAGACCACCCGTTAATTTAGTTAACAAGTGAACGAGATGGGATTTATATTATCAGAGGCGAGGTGGGGTTTAAGGGCATATTCCCTCACAATCATATTCTATCTGAAAATTTATCATTCTCTGGCTATCAAAAACCTGAAAAGCGTAAGCATAAAGAGATGGCAGTTTGTTCTGTTTATCCATTAAACCCTACTCTCCTCTCTCACTCTCTTGCTCTTTCTCTTTCCCATCATTCTCATGTTTACTTGAGTGCAGAATCAGTGAGCAGAATAATAAGAAGAGAAGGCAGACAAGGCAGTATGACTGTTAGGGTTTTATCCACCCATTCAAATGCTAAGATTCTCAACCCTAAACGAAAATCACGCTACGGCCACACCTTCAGTCTCTACGATACTGATACCGGTCTTGATGATTGGTTGCTGGATGTGAGTTTCTGTTTTATACTTCCTTTGCTAGCCTTCAACTTTCATTTGCCATGTCTCTCTCTTTGCCTGGTTTTTTGTTTTCAATTTTTTTTAACTAATTTATACTCTCAAATTGTTGAATATTGGTGAAGCTTGTATTTATGTGTTCATTTTCTTCTTAAATTTTCCAATTTGAATTGTGTATTTATCTTGAAAGAAGAAACATGTAGGTGTAAGGAAAAGAAAAGGATTAATAAGCTTACCGAAAAAATATCAACCATTAGATGGATATTTAGTGGATTTTATTAGTGAATGTCATAAATCTGATGGTTTTCTGTTAGTGAATTACCTGGCAAGATTAAATTGAAATTAATAATTTCTTGTTTTTTTACTTTACTATTTTAAACTTGTCAGTATGTGATGTGAGTTCTTTTTCCTCTCAAGGAAAAAAATGTTAGAAACTTCCAAGCATACTTTCTAGGTAATCGTTCATAGATATGAAAGTAAATGCCAAAACCCTGACGACCATCTATTTCACCTCATTTTGATTTCCTTCCACTTCCACCAATCCTTGACGCACTGTAAGAATCTTTTTACCAAATGATGATGTGATATTATTTACAATTGATTATGATTAAGAAAATATTATTGAGTGGCTACTGCATGGATTAGTTGTTAGCTACTTTTAATCTCTCTGTTGAATGTTTATTCAGGATGAATTTGCAGAGCCTGTGGATTTTGAAGTCGATGGAAAGAAAAGAGTTAATTCGCAGAAGAAAACAAGTACCAGAGAAGGTATGCTCTAATGTTCTGTCAACGCTTTGAGAATTTTTTAAGGGATGATAATGCCTGAAGGAAAAATTTGTGCTTGCAGCTGGCCAGAGATTATTCAATTCGAGAACTAGCGAGAACATTCAGGAAAAGAGTATGGTTGGAAACTTCTATGGTACTAAAAATAGAACAAAAGAAGCTGATTCCTCTGACATTAATGGACAAGGAAAGGTATGGTTAGATTTTAGATTTTCATGTATACTGTACTAATGATGCAAAAAAAGCTTAGATGTTCTCTGTGGTTGCAGCTAATAACAGGGAAATCTACTGAGGACAGATATCCAAAGCTATCTGAAGAAATAGATTTGGATGAAAAGTGGCTCCCCCTTTTGGATTACCTAAGCACGTTTGGGCTCAAGGAATCACACTTTATCCAAATCTATGAGAGGCACATGCCATCACTCCGAATAAATGTATGTTCTGCACGGGAGAGATTGGAGTACCTGCAGAGTATTGGCGTCAAACACAGAGATATAAAAAGAATACTTTTGAGGCAACCGCAAATTCTAGAATATACAGTGGAGAGTAATTTGAAGTCTCATACTGCTTTCTTGATTGGTTTAGGTATTCCAGATTCCAGAATAGGGCAGATAATTGCTGCTGCTCCATCTCTATTTTCTTATAGTGTTGAGAATTCTCTAAAACCCACAGTTAGATATTTGGTTGAGGAGGTTGGAATTGATGAAAAAAATATAGGAAAAGTTGTGCAGCTGAGCCCTCAAATCCTGGTTCAGCGGATTGATGTATCATGGAATACTCGCTATCTTTTTCTATCCAGGGAGCTGGGAGCATCCAGAGATAGCGTAGTAAAGATGGTAACAAAACATCCTCAGCTCCTTCATTACAGCATTGATGATGGATTCATCCCAAGGATCAATTTCCTGAGGAGTATCGGGATGCATAATGGTGACATCTTGAAAGTCTTGACCAGCCTTACACAGGTTAATTTGCTTCCTTTTGTATCCTCATTAAAAAAACCTCTCTCTCTGCTTATGCTAGATATGCTTTGGCTATTTGCTACAGAATATGGATTGGTTTCTTGATATGGGCTATGTTTTTCTTTATATTTTTAGATTCCTTTTGTATCCTCATTAAAAATATTTTCTCTTCTTATGCTGAATATGTTTTGGTTGTTTGCTACGGAAAATGGATTGCTTTCTCTATATGGTTATGTTTATCTTCATATTTTTAGAGAACTCAATGCTGTCTTTGCTTTTACTATAAGTAGGTTTCACATGTCAAGGAGGGAAGATGCAAAACAAATATAGAGATAAAAATGGTTTTCATCATATATTAATGTGCATTATGAAAGCTTGTTATTTGATTTTATGCATTTTCATGATTTCTAGTAAATGTTTAATGATTCTGCTGCTTATCTTATCAGGTATTATCTCTGTCACTGGAAGACAATCTAAAGCCAAAGTACAAGTATTTGATCAATGAACTTCGTAATGAGGTGCAATCCTTGACCAAATACCCTATGTACTTAAGCTTGTCTTTAGACCAGAGAATTCGCCCTCGCCATAGGTTCTTGGTTGCCTTAAAGAAAGCTCCAAAGGGGCCATTTCCTCTTAGTTCATTTGTTCCAACTGATGAAAGCTTTTGTCAGCAGTGGGCTGGAACTAGTGTAGATAAATATTTGGCTTTTCGGCAACAATTGCTACTAAAAGAGTTTGCTAAGAAATATGAAAAACGACGGTAATGTTTTGTCGTCAAGCTTCTTCAATGTTGTTTCTAACACAAGTAAAGGAGTGAGGTCTGTCTATGAATTAAAGCAACCTGCAAGATTGGTTTCTGAAGGCTAGTGAGGACATTTTGGGGTGAAGGTCTGTCATTCAAACTACTTTTAGACCCTAATAAGCAAGTCACTGATGGCTGATATATTTTGTAGGTTTGGTTTGATGGCATGGTAATTTGACCAATATCAGATTCAGAGCACCCTTTTTGATGTTAGAGCTCTGAAAGGCACGTGAGAATACGATCAGACCTGCTAGTAATTGTGAAGGTGAAAGAGATCAAGCAGATGTCTATAAAGTTAGGTAAGTAATCAGTCTGCAAATAGGAAATTAAATCTTTTTTTCCCTTTTTTCAGAACGAGGAAAGTTATCAAAGCACTTTTTATTTTTTTAATAACTGGACATGGAATAGATATTGCATCTGGCATGCACCATGAGGGTATTTTGTGGAAAACAAATAGTAGCTATATTCAGGGGTGTTTAGTCTATCATTTGACTGTCATCCTGCATGAGATTCCTCACTGTAAAAACTGCATGTTTATAGCTAGGATAAAAATGGGATGATTATTCTAATCATAACAACTCTCATGGGTGATCATTTCAGTCAACGTTACATTAGTTATAAAATATTCTTAAGTGACATCCTTCTGAATGTATTTATTGAGGTTAAAAGTTTATATTCTTAACTTAAATTTCTTATGTTGTTCCAATTATTGTTTCTTTGTTCTTTCAGTTTGCTGTGATGATACGTTTTTTCTGAATCTTATGACTCCAGACAATAGTATTTGCAAGGTAGGTGTCATGAGATCTTTTGTTTGTATTCTATGTTGCCAATTATGATCTCATTTCTCCAAGGATTTCCTGGTCAATGCAGGTCTATGCTAATGTCACACATCAAGAGATGAAATTTTGAATGGGGCGTGTACTCACCGGAATTTTTTGTTGTTCTTATACCTTTTGTTTTTCTTTGTTTTTTTCCCCTGGACGTATCATGCCTCCACGCCTACACCTATATAATGTACTCTAGAGTTGCCTGTGCAGCTTCAAGAATCAGCACTGAGAGTAGCTGCTGCTTTTACCATATAAAAAAAATACAGATAAAAAGACTAATTGATTTGCTCAATGATTTGGATTTGACGTTTTATGCATCTATTTGTAGCAATTGCATGTTTGAAGTTGCTTCATGTTTTTATCGTGCTGTGTTACTGCCGAAATTTACCTTAGCTTAAGCTTGTTTCATTTCTGATTAAGCTCCCTTGAATGAGATGGAGAGCAGGATGTTGTGGGGACACGTGTATGGAGCTACGCGGCCTTGACGATGAAGGGACAGACCAACCTGTCATGTTCAGGCTCCTGGTATTGGACTTTATCTGAGTCTATTATTAGGTTTAGCTTATTATTTTACTTGAAATTTTATTTAGTGAGAGGTCAGATAATATCACCTGTGACAAACCGAAACAGAAAATCAATGTCCAAAAAATAAAAAACACCACCCACAATGTTAATTCCAAGCCTCTATATCGTTTTTTTTTCTTTTCTTTTTTCAATACAGGCTAAAAACCCCATCTTATGCTCTTAAGTGGGGCCGCGAGAGAGCAGCACAACTAAAATATATTGTAGTGACCTAGGATGAGCAAGCACTAAAACTAGCAGGGTGCCATCATCCACGACATTTTGGATGTTCATCTTAGACCCATTTGGGAAAATTAAGGAGTTGGCTTTTGCTGAAGTCATAGTCTCGTCATTTAAATAGACTTCCATGGACGATTCCTGTATTGGCGGAGGGAAAGAAAGCTTCCTCGTTCCTATCCAAACACAGGTATTTCGTTACATTCTAAGCATATGGTTGTTGCAAATTTGCATAAGCAAGTCTTAATTTTGAGTTCAGCTTATCGTTTCACTACTAATGCGTAAATAAATAAATAAAAGTTAATCACAATGTTTTAAAAAAGTTAATTTTGAATATATAGCATTAAAAGAATTGACGATGGAATGTTAGATCTTGCATATAGATATAAAGCATTGCGAATTCGTGTCCAATTACTTATAATGTTATAAAAAGTCATAATTATAAATAATTGACTAAAGAGTAAAACAAGATAAAATAACATGGTCAATTTAAAATTAAACAAATAAATAATTTGTTTGTGTAAAAAAAATTATTTGGCTTGCAGCAAACTGCAAGTCAACTAACTAGTATATGCTAATGTGAGATTTTTGTAGATGTTTCACTATTTATATAAAAAATGAAACACCTCAAGTCATTTAAAAAAAAAAAAAAAAAATTTCACTTGCAATTGAGTCATTTTACAGTCTAATTAGATAGAGTTAGGCTTAGAATTATGGAGAATTATAAAATTAAAAGATAAAGGACTGAAAGTTAAAATACAAAAAAAATACATAACTCCCTTGAAATAACCAATAATTTTCATTTAGATCTAAAAGAAAGAGCGAGTAATTAAAAAACAATAAAAAAAAAAGAAAAGGATTGGTTGTCAAGATTTCTAGAACTAAAATTGCTAAATTTGATGTAGAAGGCTGAGAAAAGTTTGAAAGTCATGATTTTTCCTTTGAAATTGACGAGAATGGTCAATAGGTTCAGTTTTGATTTTTAAGATTTGATTGATTTTTAAGTGATTTTGAGATATTTTTAAGATTTAGAGTAGTTGATATTAATTTGGGGGGTACCTTGAAAATGAAATTTTAAATCAGAAAAATCCCTTTCCTTATTTTTCACAGCCAGAGTGACTGGATTCTAGAGATAGCAAGTGACAGGTTGCCCATGCCTCAGGCAACTTGTCTCTTGCTTAATTAAGAAAATAGGAATGGGCATCCACAAAAAAATAAAAGAAAACCTAGACACGACCCTGGGCTTCAAGGCCCAGACGTGCTTAGACTTGTCATTTAACTTTTATTTTTTTTATAATATTAGAAGTGTTTTTTACAACCCATCATTCAATTTTATCCAATTATTTTTCTAATATTCTATATTTTAAACTAATATTGATAATTTAAAAAATCAGCTAGAATTAACCCTATCAATAAAAAATGTCGTGGTATCAATATTTCTTTTAAAAATACTTTCCCGGACTTGTAAATAAAAAATATATTAATAACACATGCATTATTTTTATTTTTTTTTATGTTCAGACACACCGACCTATTACCCTAGTAATAATACAAAACATCTAAACATAAAACAAAAAATTAGAAACCCAGGAAACACAACAGTAAAATAAAAACATGAAACGCACCCAGAGGCAGATGGTATCAGTCTCCGAGGAGATGGTTTTCTTAACTTAGAACTTGCATCAATCATCTCAAGATAATGGAAACACGTACGTAATTGTTTTCCGCACTGTAGTCACTCATCTCTTCCAGACAAAAACTGATAAAAATATCACTTTACAATGGGGAGAGGGGAAAAGACGTGGATAATGAAGAAACAAACACGTTCAGGTTACACTGTTAAGAAAACAACCTAATCCGAGTCAGATAATTGCGCACGGTCATCGAGTTTTGTGACCATTTTAGATAGGGTCTCTTCCATGTCTTCTAATTCATCCTTCCCAAACCCCCAGCTTCTAACTAGCTGAGTCCCAGGGGCTCCTTGCTGAATTCCAAGTCTGCGAAGATTTGCCAACCTGCTCTCCAAAAATGGCAAGACAGCTGTGCTTGAGCGCAGTCTAGCAGCCACGGGGATGGAATGGACATCAAGTGATCCCCTTGATGAACAACCTGGAACCGGGCTGCTCAAGAGCTCACCGTGTTGGCCAACAAGGTTACAAAAGATTTTAGGAAATGGCAATGGTATTGGAAGTGGGCAGCTGGAGACTGATAAATGACAGAATTTTGGTCTTGATGAGGAATTTTCATAAGCAGCATTAACTGAATCCGTTACTTCAGAAATGAAAGCATGGTGACCTCCTGCAGAACAAATACAATGAAGTAAGAGCATACATACAGGATCCTTGTTAAGAAGCAGATAGGAAAGAGAACCAAGATTAATAAAAACTCTTTTCCATGAAGATTGCAAGAGAACCTATTACAAGAAAGAACAGGAAAGCTATGATTTTATCTAGTCTCTATTTTCTCAATGGATGTTCACAAATGCATAGAAAAAACTATTTCTATTAAGAACTTTTTAATGATTAGAAGTTACACTTTTGACTTTATGATGTCCATTAAGTAAAGTTAACAATGCAGATATGAAGTCCAAAGATTGCAAAAGGAAAATTTTGTAAGACCTGACATAGGCTTGGAAACAAAGCCATTTAAGTAACAAATTATGACTATATTAGTTTTGATGCATGTTCAAATTACAAACAGTACCTGATCGAAGAGCTCCATGCACAGTCATAAACTCCACTGCTTGCATATCCTCCACATCTTGTGCAATCTCAGGTGTTAACGGCTGCAAATTCCTCAGTAAAGAGTGCTCAGCATGTTTCCCTGAATTTTATATGATACGATCCAAGTAAGGTCAAATTTGAATTTTGATGTAAAATGTGCAACTATCCAATTTTACGGCAATAGTCATAATTCTCAATCTGACCGTTGGATCGAGCTGAAATTTTACGTGGAGTCTCCTGACATATTATATTACATTGGGTTAAAATTTCAGGTCAATCGGAGTTCGGGAAGGTATCTCAATACGAGTCACCAGAGGCTGTACAGATTTTGTTATTTACTTCCTTTTGACTTGTGGACTTCCTATTTGGCTAGGATTCTTTTCCTAAAGGGATGTGGCAGCTTATTTTGGAAATATACTAATTCTACAAGGATGTTTAATGGGCTGCAACATAGTTTCCAAGTGGCAAGGATTCATAATTATTTCAGAATGCTTTTCTTACAAGGATTCCTTATTCATCCGAGCTACAAAAGGAAAGAAGACTTTAGAATACATTCTACCTTCAGATCAGATTTCCTAGTCTATTTGGGACTTCTTAATGGTGACAAATCTGATTCTAGCATATTTAGGATAGTAATTTTTGGATTTTTATATTTTTATTATTTTCTTCATAGTCTTTGGGTTATTATTACTTATTTGGGTCAATTGTAAGTGGGCTACATATAAGTCCACCTAAGGGGGGTTCATTAGGGTTTCTTTTAAGTCTAGAATCACTATAAATAGAGGCATAACCAAACATGTAGAGGAAAACTATTCAGATAAATAAAACTTCTTGTTTGCCGCACTTTGTGTGTATGTGTGTTGGTGAGATAATCTCCCTTCCATGGTTCTCTAATGAACTAAAAAAACGACTTATCAAAGAACAACTGTCTTCGTGGCGTCATCCTTATACTTCTCGTTCGCGAATCAATATTCGTTGGGTGGGGGTTTCCGTTTTCAATAGTGCTGGTGCCTAGGTACAAGTTATCTTTGTGTCACAATCCTATCAAACCTGATTTACTTGGCTTTCCGGGAATTGGCATCTTTGCGTGTGGGTTGCGTGACCATGTGATCACGAGGTTCGCATCATTATAATCTTTAACAATTAACCAAACTCATTGACAGAAATATGGACATGAGATGGAAAAAAAAAAAAAAAAAACTTGAAAAATACCAGAAATAGGAGGTGCTGGCATTGAAACATCGAGAATAGTCACCATATTTTGCCTAGCTTGCCCTGCTAACAATTGTGTAACTCCATTAACATCCACAGCTCCAGAAAAATTATGTGAATTTGCAGGTCCAAGTGGCTCAATTCGGAAAGGGACACTAATAGAGTGTAGAGCAGCAGCATACACTGCACTGCTGTGGTAAGGCATCTCATCTTTAATGCAAAGGTGCATGGAAGCTTTACCTTCAACATCAAGAGTAGATTACCCAAAAAACAGAAAAACAGAAGTAAATAACTCAAAAAGATAATGCTTCAGATTCAAGATATAAAACAAAGCATCAAAAAGAAACCAAAACAGAGCATCACATATAGATAATGTCAAGAGAATATGTAAATACAATTATGCTTACTTGTACTTAGCAAGGGTAAACCAACTGGCACGATCAATTTACAGAAGGATGACAGTCTTGAAAAAGAAAGTGCATCGTGAATGCTCCTGGACAGTTTTTGTTTTTGGCTAGTCAGGTTCATGTGAGAACCAGGACCCCTCACAGTATAAAGTAAAACTGGTGTATTTGTATATTCATCCGCAATACTCTCCAAAAAGTCTGCAGCTATAGCAG